ATAGGAGTTCTCCAAACTCATTTTCGTACTTTTAAGGTGAAGAAAAGAAGTGATTTACTATAGAGTGTATTACACTTATTTGTATAATTTGCACGACGTTTCGAACCTCCATGGTTCATTCTCAAGTGAACAATCTTACAATACTAGTTGATTTTATACCCGCATTAGGTCAGGTGATAATACAATGAAGGTGAAAAACATGGGGGATACATAAGGGATAAACATAGGGGCTGCAGAAGGCTTATTGGCCCATACGAGGCATCTCCTATCTAAACACAAAGATTAATCCAGTGTAATTGGCCTGTTATGTTGGACATTGTCTTCTGTGTTGGCATCGATATGTTCTTGTCTTGTCCTTACTCTCATGGTGGGTAGAGTAAATAGTTCCGTGATTTGGGTGTTCATGGTAGGTCGCTCTATTCTTATGTGAATTGCCTCAAGAATTTGTAATCTTCTTGAATCTTGGGTTTTGTCTATTATGCAAGTATTCTTGTTCAACATTTCTCTTGTTAGAGTAATGTCATGGGCTTGTCTCATGTGATTCCTAGGGGCACCAGAATGCCCCTAGGAATCACATGAGACAAGCCCATGGCATTACTCTAACAAGAGAAATGTTGAACAAGAATACTTGCATAATAGACAAAACCCAAGATTCAAGAAGATTACAAATTCTGAGGCATTCACATAAGAATAGAGCGACCTACCATGAACACCCAAATCACGGAACTATTACTCTACCCACCATGAGAGTAAGGACAAGACAAGAACATATCGATGCCAACACAGAAGACAATGTCCAACATAACAGGCCAATTACACTGGATTAATCTTTGTGTTTAGATAGGAGATGCCTCGTATGGGCCAATAAGCCTTCTGCAGCCCTACGTTTATCCCTTATGTATCCCCCATTTTTTTCACCTTCATTGTATTATCACCTGACCTAATGCGGGTATAAAATCAACTAGTATTGTAAGATTGTTCACTTGAGAATGAACCATGGAGGTTCGAAACGTCGTGCAAATTATACAAATAAGTGTAATACACTCTATAGTAAATCACTTCTTTTCTTCACCTTAAAAGTACGAAAATGAGTTTTGGAGAACTCCTATTCCAATTAAGCCCTGATGCTAAGAAAATAGTTAGAGGGATAGAAGCCCTAAACCAGAAAATAATAAATACAGAATATGCGGTCATATTCAATGAAACATGTTTGAAGAAAACCTGCTGCCAGTATACACCAATATATATATATATATATATATATATATATATATATATATATATATATATATATATATATAATATATATATATATATATATACAAAGATTAAGATACAGTGGTCTCTGGCTCCTAATGGCATTTCATAGTCAATATTTTCAATGTCCATCTCAATCAGTGCGAAGATCTAGATCTAGCCCAGCTGGTTTTCTCCACCGTTTCTCCTTGTTTGCTCCCTGACATGTTGCATCAGGAAGTTCCTCACTACTACTTTTACAAGCTTTGCTCTTCATGTCTCATCCCCTCCTCTTGGGCCCATTGTTTCCCAGATGATTTGGCCTTGGTTGAAGTTTTCCATTACCAGGAGCTTTCCTTTCTGTTTGTGACAGACTGTAAAGCAAAAGATCTGTCTGTCTGATTTCAGTCTGTATCTGTCACCCTTAGAGGATGTACAAACATGCTCTGTTCATAATTCCATATTCTTGCCTCCGTTTATTGTGGTCCACTTCTCTCTAGGCTCTCCCCTTCCCATTATGGACTTCTCTCTAGGCTCTCCCCTTCCTATTATAGACTTCTCTCTAGGCTCTCCCCTTCCTATTATGGTATTCCCTTGGAAATATCGCATTGCTAATCATACTAGTTAGTTTGGTCTCTTCTAATGCTATTACATCAGGGTCTGTTTCCTCAGTTCTTTCTTTAAGTTCATCTGCTTTGTTTGACAATTCATTGGCATTAGTGTACCAGATCTTCGGTCTTTATTGTTGTATTGTCCTCTAAGTGTCTATGTTACGGCCTCAGTTAGCCAGTAACCGGGTTCTTTATATTCAAAACTTAAATAAAAAATATACCCTTAAGGCGACTTCATATTCGATCCAACCCTGAGTCACAGGAAAGCTATTCGCAACTGGCAGTAATTGTCATTTCAATAGGAATGGGGGTAAACAACACTAAACAAAACAATCACCATGTGTACTTCTTAACTATATTTACTTCTTACATATGTACATAATATAATATCTGGTGTCACTTTCACACAGGACACTATAAAAGATCTTCTGCAATGTTCTTTCCCGGCGAGTCAACTTCTGTCTTCTATCATACAACCTTCAAAGTCAGTCCCTGAGTCAGTCCCCCTATTGCTATTTGGAGGGTGTCTCCTGTAGAGATATTTTGGTGGAGACAAGATATGTAACAATTTAGCTAAGAAAATGGTACATAAAAGTAGTAAATTATACATTTGTTTCTTGAAAGAAACCTGCAGCTGGCAACTGGGAGACGCGTGTCGCTGATAACACTCCGCCAAGGAAACTAGTACCGAGAGTTGGAGATTTATTGTGGAGTATGTGTACATTGTGAATATTTTGTGAGGGGAAAATGGACTCATTTATATAACCTACTAAATGTGGAGTACTTTTATATGAGAGTTTATAGAGATTGATGAGGAATGATGAGAGGTCTAGTATCACGGGGCAGGTGACGTGACAAGACCCGATGGACGCCATTAATACTTGGCCGGAGGAGGAGGAGGAGGATCGTGTTTACTGACTGCTTGAGTTTTCATTGTTACTTTTTGCCAAATATTCAAGTAAATCATAATTTTGTATTTATCCAAATTGCAGGAGATCCTCGAGTAAACTGAGGTACTACCAAGTGGGATAAAACAGAGAGAGAGAGAGAGAGAGAGAGAGAGAGAGAGAGAGAGAGAGAGAGAGAGAGAGAGAGAGAGAGAGAGAGAGAGAGAGAGTGTCCAGGTTTCCTAATATATTTGTGTCTGGTAAATATGGTGACAGGTTGATTGTTAAGTAAACTTTCGATTGTCGGAGCAGAGTATTAAGGTTTACCGTATTGCTTGTGTTGTTGGAGAGAGGTAAACCATTCTGGTGCGTGATTATTAATATAGTGTTACAGTGAGGTTCTGTAGGATAGAGGGGGAGGGGGGAGGCTTCTCCTCAATGTATTCTCATATTTTTTTGTAAAAATATATTTTGGTTTACTCTTGTTTTTGTTTACTCTTATCTTTGTTTACTTTTGTACAAGTAGACGAACAATTTCCCTAGACAAACAAATACATTAAGAATAACAATGTAACCAGAGCAGTAACAATGTAACCAGAGCAGTAGCCTATATAGGGACACGGCCAGACTTGTGAGTGGCTATGACCGACCAGCCGTGACACAGAGTAAATAAACAGCAGCAGCTACTTATAAAGATTGTGACATAGAAACGGGTACCAGACTGTCACAGTAACACAAACGGGTATAGTATACGTAACAGATGGAAACATTCATCACCTTTTTTTCCATTCTATTGTTGCTGTGTGTACTCACCTAGTGGAGGTGAGTACACATTGCAACACAATCCATTGTTGTTGTGTGTGTGCTTACTTAGTTGTACTCATTTAGTTGTGCTTGTGGGAGATGAGCTCTGGCTCTTAGGTCCCACCTTTCAACTGTCAACAGGTGTACAGGTTCCTGAGCCTACTGGGCTCTATCATATCTACATTTGAAACTGTGTATGGAGTCAACCTCCACCATATCTCTGACTAATGCATTCCACCTGTTAACTACTCTGACACTGAAAGAGTTCTTTCTAACGTCCCTGTGGCTCATTTGGGTACTCAAGTTTCCACTTGTGCCCCCTTGTTGTCCAAGGGGACAAAGTGATAAACAGTTTAACTTTATCTACCCTGTCGATTCCTTTGAGAATTTTATAGGTAGTGATCATGTCTCCCCGAGCCCTCCTGTCTTCCAGCGACGTGAGGTGCATTTCATGCAGCCTTTCCTCGTAACTCATGCTTCTTAGTTCTAGGACTAGCCTATTGGCATACCTCTAAACTTTTTCCAGCTTAGTCCTGTGCTTGACAAGTTACGGGCTCCATGCTGGGGCCGCATACTCCAGGATTGGTCTTACATATGTGGTATACAAGGTTCTGAATGATTCCTTACACAGATTCCTGAAGGCAGTTCTGATGTTAGCCAGCCTCGCATACACCGCAGATGTGTTAAAACTTGACTCATATATTTAATTTAAATTGATGCCAATTAGATAGCTACGAAGGACCACCACTTGTTAAAGGAAAAGTGGAAACTGGGTAGAGCAAGTGGTTTACTATTAAATCCATGAACTAGTATCTTATGGATAGTATTGATAATTGTTATCTTGAATATATAATGACTGTAATTTATGAATCAAATCTTCTCACCCAAAATGGGAGTTAAATGTTAAAAGACTATTGCATCCCTGACATCATTTCAGTGCAGATGCTGAACAAGCTGTAGTAGATGTTGAACAAGCTGTAGCAGATGCTGAACAAACTGTAGCAGATGCTGAACAAGCTGTAGCAGATGTTGAACAAGCTGTAGCAGATGCTGAACAAGCTGTAGTAGATGCTGAACAAACTGTAGTAGATGCTGAACAAGCTGTAGTAGATGCTGAACAAACTGTAGTAGATGCTGAACAAGCTGTAGTAGATGTTGAACAAGCTGTAGTAGATGCTGAACAAGCTGTAGTAGATGCTGAACAAGCTGTAGTAGATGCTGAACAAGCTGTAGTAGATGTTGAACAAGCTGTAGTAGATGTTGAACAAGCTGTAGCAGATGTTGAACAAGCTGTAGCAGATGCTGAACAAGCTGTAGCAGATGCTGAACAAGCTGTAGTAGAGAACAAACTGTAGCAGATGCTGAACAAGCTGTGTAGCTAGAACAAGCTGTAGTAGATGCTGAACAAGCTGTAGTAGATGCTGAACAGCTGTAGTAGATGCTAGCTGTAGTAGAGATGTAGATGAACAAGCAAACTGTAGTAGATGCTGAACAAACTGTAGCAGATGCTGAACAAGCTGTAGTAGATGCTGAACAAGCTGTAGCAGATGCTGAACAATGCTGCTGTAGTAGATGCTATGCTGAACAAACTGTAGCAGATGCTGAACAAGCTGTAGCAGATGTTGAACAAGCTGTAGCAGATGCTGAACAAGCTGTAGCAGATGTTGAACAAGCTGTAGCAGATGCTGAACAAGCTGTAGCAGATGTTGAACAAGCTGTAGCAGATGTTGAACAAGCTGTAGCAGATGCTGAACAAGCTGTAGCAGATGCTGAACAAGCTGTAGCAGATGCTGAACAAGCTGTTGCTGAACAAGCTGTAGCAGATGCTGAACAAGCTGTAGCAGATGCTGAACAAGCTGTAGCAGATGCTGAACAAGCTGTAGCAGATGCTGAACAAGCTGTAGCAGATGCTGAACAAGCTGTAGCAGATGCTGAACAAGCTGTAGCAGATGCTGAACAAGCTGTAGTAGATGCTGAACAAGCTGTAGCAGATGCTGAACAAGCTGTAGTAGATGCTGAACAAACTGTAGTAGATGCTGAACAAACTGTAGCATGCTGAACAAGCTGTAGCAGATGCTGAACAAGCTCAACAGAAATACTGAATATCCAGTTTTTCTATTAGAATAATCTTGAGAACTCATGACGTACATAAAAGCAAGCAACAGTTTCCAAGCAACCATTCCTGGTCACCAAGCAACCAAAATCAGATTCCTAGTAACCAGTAGCAGATACAAAACAACTAATTGTGTATGGGAAACAAGTAGCAAAAACATCTGACCAAGCAAACGTGTTTATTATGGACCAGGGCTGGGAGTGGTGGTGCTGTAGAGGGTGCTGGGAGCAGAGGGAAGGTGGGGCTGAGAGTGGTGGTGCTGTAGAGGGTGCTGGGAGCAGAGGGAAGGTGGGGCTGAGAGTGGTGGTGCTGTAGAGGGTGCTGGGAGCAGAGGGAAGGTGGGGCTGGGGGTGGTGGTGCTGTAGAGGGTGCTGGGAGCAGAGGGAAGGTGGGGCTGGGAGTGGTGGTGCTGTAGAGGGTGCTGGGAGCAGAGGGAAGGTGGGGCTGGGTGGTGGTGGTGCTGTAGAGGGTGCTGGGAGCAGAGGGAAGGTGGGGCTGGGAGTGGTGGTGCTGTAGAGGGTGCTGGGAGCAGAGGGAAGGTGGGGCTGG